CTGAAACAGAAACAAGAAATAACATTAACACACAAAATACGTTTTGTCTCTTGAATGTATTTTATATCTGACAGGTACATTTACTACTATTTCTTGTCAAGTTCCTGTCAGGAACAGTGTCCTTATTTTCTTTCTCAACTGCATTTATAATCTTTAAGTTCTCGACTCTGAAGTTTCTACTCATCACAATTGTCCTGGTGACAATCATGTTAAATAACATGAGTGTCACCAGGACAATCATGTTATTTAACGAAAGGGAAGCACCTGGGTGGCCAGGACAAGATAAAGTTAACGAATAACGTTTGACGTTTTAAATGGCTATATCAAGGTATGGACAAAGTCACTTACGTATAGTTAAGGACATTTATTAGGGAATGTTTCGCCAAGTGTGGCGGAACATTTCCTCATTAGGACTGAGGAGCCATTTTATGGAGAAACGTTTTATCTAATAAATGTACTGAACCGTACATAAGTGTCCTTTTCCACAACGTCTGACGTTGTTTCATCTTCACATACATAAATCATACTAAACTGTAGTTTGATGTACATACGAAATAAATTCTACACTGTAGAATTTATTTCGCATACACGATTCACTTGGCTTCAAAGCACTCCTCCTCTTCCTCATTTTTTATTCTCGCAAACGAACTTTTTACTTTTTATGATCAGTTGATATTAGGTATTTATATTTACCCAGCTTCAAGGCCTTCAAATTTTTCTGATTAAAGAACTTCTGCAAATTTTCCTTTCATACGAGTAGTCTATTTTGGGTTTCTTGCAGCATTTTAGTTTCGTGTGTAAATGTATTACTATTGCTGACTTCTATACAAGCTAATATATACATCTGGTAAACCAAATACAAGAACATTAGAAAGAAGGAGCACTGCAGAAGTCCTACTGGCCCCTGCTGGGCAGGTTCAATTCACCTTACTGGCCCAAGATGACTCACGAAATCGTAATGACACGACTGCAAACGAACCATACCACGGGCGGGATTGAACCCGCGGTCAGAGAGTCTCGAAACTCCAGCCCGTCGCGTTAGCCACTGGACCAGCTAGCCACAATAAGATTCGTCCAACTAGGTATATTTCTACACCATAGGAAGGCTAGTCTGGTGAACAACCAAAGTCCTCGTTATATCCATGTCCTGTGTACAACGCTTTCAAACCACCTTTGGAGAGTGATGTGTGTTCTTTCAGAAGTGAGGTGACGCCAGAACATCTACCCTTTCACATGTGGGGCATCTTTGCATTTTTAAAAGTGCGTGAAGTCAGGCAAGAAACTAAAAATAAAAAGATGTAATATGATCCACGGTTTACAGCAGACTAGAGATAAATGGTCTTCAGAGGGAATCTACATAAACTCTATTTAAAGAGAACCTTTTCTGAAAGCCCTGGAAAAGCTCTTGCCTTAAACATTTCGCAAGGCAACGTTTGCTAATTAAAAGGCTTGAAATATTGAAGATTCGCGTAGCCCTCATATGGCCTTTATTTATGTCAATTACGGTATCATAGAGGACCCGCTAATGAGGTTCCATTACATAACTGAAGAATCCGTGCTTGTTTTATACGTAGAGAATGGTAGATCGAGCAACGGTGAATCGAGTGTCCACTTCATGTCGTTAATTTTCGACACAGGTTTAACACTATCGAAAATATTAAAATGATTATAGAGCCAACCTCTGGCTTACGAGGTCACTCATATATATATATGTCGTGCCGAATAGGTAAAACTGGTCAATTGGCAAGAACTCGTTTAAAATTAAGTCCTTTCTATAATTTTCTCTTATACGTTTAAAGATATATTTTTTTCATTTATGTTAATGTAAAAATTAATTATTTTGTACCAAAAGTACCTTATAACAAGCGCAATTTAATTTAGCTTAATCCAAATAAATATATTTTAGATAAGTTTACAATAATTTAATAAACACAATGAAATATATTTTTTTTTGTTAGGATCAGAATGATTTTTGCGAAATTATTGCACACACAAATTTTCGCTTGCTTTATTTAGTAAGAAGTGCGTTGCTATTGAAGCCAAAATTGCAAGTTTTACTTATTCAGCACGACATGTGTAATATATATATGTATATATATATATATATATTATTATACATATTATATATATATATATATATAATATATATATATATATATATATATATATATATATATGTCGTGCCGAATAGGTAAAACTGGTCAATTAACAAGAACTCATTTAAAATTAAGTTCTTTCTAAAATTTTCTCTTATACGTTTAAAGATATATTTTTTTCATTAATGTTAATGTAAAAATTTATAATTTTGCACCAAAAGGAAGTCAGAAAACTTTCCTAACCTTACTGTAAGAAGCGCAATTTATTTTAACCTAACCCAACTAAATATATTTTAGATTTGTTTACAATAATTTAATACTAAACAAGCACAGTGAAATATTTTTTTTTCGTTAGGTTCAGAATGATTTTGGCGAAATTATTGCATACACAAATTTTCACTTGTCCTATATGGCAAGATAAGCGTTGCTATTTAAGCCAAGATCGCAAGTTCTGCCTATTCGGCACGACATTATATATATATATATATATATATATATATATATATATATATATATATATATATATATTATATATATATATATATATATATGACCCTCCCAGTGCGACTGGGAGGTATAGGGGTGCACAAAGCAACGCATGTTGCTTTACCTGGTTTTCTGTCTTCGTGTTTGGCTTCCAGTGCATTAGTCAAGAAGATTGTTCCCGAACACTTGAGAGACGTGGTAGGAGCTCAAGACCCCAGGTTTACTGAAGCAGCGATTCGGTGGGACACCCTTACAGATTCCTCCAGTAGACCAGGTCCTCCCAAAGAACACAAACAGTCCCATTGGGACAAACCGATCATGGGAAAAAATCGCCAACACAATGCTCTCCAACGCCTCAGGAAAGGACAAAGCTCGTCTCCTGGCAGTGAAGGCACCACACTCTGGAGATTTCCTGTTAGCTGTTCCCAATTCCTCCTTGGGCACTCGATTAGACCCACAGGCCATTCGGATTGGTGTTGCTCTTCGCCTAGCCTCCCCCATCCTCACCGAACATAGGTGTATTTGCGGCAGGGCGACAGCTGATCAATTCGGACTTCATGGTCTCGTGTGTCACACAGCAGAAGGGAAGTATGCCAGGCATGAGGAGGTCAATGACATCATAAAGAGAAGCCTCGCCACAGCCCGTTGCCCAGCTCAACGGGAACCCCAAGTGCAGAGGTCTGACGGAAGTCAAAAGCGTCCTGATGGAGCCACTATGCTACCTTGGAAGGATGGAAAGCAGATTGCCTGGGACTACACATGTACCGCCACATTGGCAGACACCTACTTGCCATACTCCGTAGTGGAAGGGGGTGGAGCTGCCAGCCACAGGGAGACCCAGAAGATCCGCAAATATGAAGACCTTCCCCCTTGCTATAACTTCATCCCAATAGGGTCGGAGACCCTTGGAGCATGGGGCAAGTATGCTCTAAAGTTCCTAATAGAGCTGGGTGAAAAGCTCATCATAGAAACCAAAGACCACAGGGCGACCAGCTTCCTCTTTCAGAGACTCCGTGTTGCAATCCAGAGAGGAAATGCCTGCAGCATTCTGGGCACGCGGCCCACCGCTGGGGAGCTGGACGAAGTATTCGAGATGTAGCTCTGAGTCACCTATGTTGTTTTACTTTCTATCGTATTTTTGTGAATGTTTTGTCAATGTATTTTGTCTTTAAATAAAATATACATAAAATATAGGGGGTGGTAGGAGAAAATTCTCAAACAGCTTCAGGGAGAACCTTGAGTTTTAACTGAAGCAAGTTTATTCTTTTCTCTGAGGATGAGGGTCCCTATAACAGTTCTAGAGGTGGTACCTCCCTATATTATATATATATATATATATATATATATATATATATATATATATATATATATATATATATATATATTATATATATATATATATATATATTATATATATATAATGCAAAACAACCACTATGAAAGAACAGTGAAATTCCATGCGGTTTCGTGACTTCTCACATTATCATAATTCCTTGATAATGTGAGAAGTCACGAAAGCGATTGGAATTTCTCTATTCTTTCACAGTGGTTGTTTTGCATATTCTGATATCTCCTGTTTACTGTGATCTTATTGCTCGCGCCCGCACGCGCGCGCGCGAACACACACACACACACACACACACACACACACACACACACACACACACACACACACACACACACACACACACATTATATATATATATATTCATTCATTATAAACATTGATAGAGCTGTTAACGCGCATTTGTTCATCATGTGTGAACGACTGAACAACACACCACAAAATCCTTGCTAGCTTCTCCAGGTGAGTGTGCCGGACTGATTATCTCACATATAATCTATATAATGTGTGAACTATGCTCGACAATTTCTCGATATATTTTCTACAAGTATCGGCCAGTTCTTGGAGGACAGTGTCCACCAGCGCCTTCCACAGCAGGTCACTCAGGTCCACTAGCACCCACTGGAGAGCAATCAGGGGGTCCAACCTCTCACTGGAAGAAAATCAGGGGTCAAGCCCCACTGGAGGGAAATAAGAGTGGTCCAAACTTCCACTTGAGGACAATCAGGGAGTCCAACCCCCACTGGAGATCAAAGCATACCCGAGACCTGTGGATCTCTCTACGATAAGTGATCATAATCTCTCGTCTCTCCATCAGTCTACCTCTATCACACTCGCAGGGCTCACAGCCAGGCGAATGGGGAAATCCAGTAGACGCCAGCAGAGGCGCTAAGCCAGGAGCTGAGACTCGACCCTTACAACCACAAAATAGGCGAGTACACACCCCAAACACCCCTTTATGACCCGGTCAATTTTATATGCGTAATTTTTCCCCAGTCAACCAGCTGTAATTGTTTGTCCTCTGTCAGTCGTAATTAGCTCCAGTAAAAATGGCTTTTATGTATGATGGTCCT